TGTATATGTATATGTATATGTGCATGTGCATGTGCATGTGCATGTGCATGTGCATGTGCATGTGTATGTGTACGTGTATGTATGTAGGTAGGTAGGTAGGTAGGTAGGTAGGTAGGTAGGTAGGTAGGTATGTATGTATGCACGTACGGACGGACGGACGGACGTACGGATGGATGGGTGGACGGATGGAGGGATGGGTGGACGGATGGAGGGATGTATATGTGCTATATTTACATATATTACACATTTGAACGTGTGTCTGTGTATGTATTTGTATATATATATATATATATCTCTCTCTCTCTCTCTCCATATATATATATATATATGTATGCATATGTGTATGATACGTCAGCACACTTCGTGGAGGCACTGGAGCACAACGCAGACGCCTGCGGCTCAGTGGCTGCTGGCACGATGCCCCAATCTGCACCGCCACGTCATCTGCCCGCAGCACAGGCCACTGCTTTCAACACGGTCATGAGCTCCTGCGCTGGATTCTCAGAATGAACCAGGGAGCAGACCGTTACCGATGCCCGGACAGCTCCTTGATTCCCATACCAGTCGAAGGCTCAGCCCTCAAACCTTGCTGGACCTAATCCTCACCGGCTTACTCACAGTGTATACCATGGTTCTGCCACAGAGACGTGTGCTGCTCCTCCTGCTTGTCTTTCAACTCCTCTGCTGCTGCTGCTGCTGCTGCACGCCCAGAAGAAACAGAAGATGCATACTACAAGCAGTGTCGAGCTAGTTATATATTAACGTTAAGTGGTTATGCAGATAGATAGCAGATAGGTCGATAGGTAGACAGATAGATAGCTAGCAGATAGAAAGATAGATAATGGATAGAAAGATAGGTACAGACACACATGTAATGTAGGGGCCTAAATTATTACCTATAGTACTTTGGTGGTTCCTTATTATCATTATTATAGTATCATCTACCCCCAAAAACCTGTTCTGATTATTCGGGCTCCTATATTATTCTATCTTGCACAGATGCTCGAGTCCCAGGTTGCTGCCAGGAAGTGGGTGGCCTCCTCAGTTCTCCGCCTTTGCCACGGCACCTCAAACTCCTGAGCTCTGTGGGACTTAGGGGCTTGGGTGTGGGGTTTAGGGTGGAGGGCTTTTAGGGTTGTAGGGCTTTGGGGGTTTGTGTTTGCAATTTCGAGATTGAGGTTGCAGGGGGTTCACGATTTGGGATTCATGCGGCTACGGGTTTGGGGCCTCACGCAGCTGAGTAGCTGAAAAAGAACTAGCAATACAGGCCCACGCGCCGTCCAAAGACCATTCCAGGCTTTTACGATAGGCATTTTGCCTTCGCCATCGCCTTCATGGACTTGGCGGTTTTTGAGGCTTCCTCGATTTTCCAACAATGTTAGGATGAAAGCTTCAACCCTAAACCCAAAACCGTGGGGGCTGTTGGGGTTAAAGCTGCTGGGTTTTTTAGCAGGCCGTTGCCCTGGACATCTTTGGGCAGATGCAGCTCTGGGAGGCCGCCTTGGCGAGTGAGAGCCTGCGGGCAAGTTGGGGCCATGATCACACGTAGTGGGTTTTTAGGGTTTAGGGCTTCGGGTTTAGGGTTTAGGGTTTAGGGGCCATGATCACAAGTAGTGGGTTCTTAGGGTTTAGGGTTTAGGGTTTCCTGAAAGCCTCTGATCGCTGGAAGGTCGATGCCAACAAGCAAGTGCTTTTGCCTCGGAGAGATGTAAATGCATGGCGTCTGGGGCTTTGGCGAATAGAGCAGGATTTGTATTGACTGGTCGTCTTCTGAGCAGTTACTTACACCGCATCCATGCGTTTCAACAGCTAGCATTTGCTGTCTTGCAAGGTTGAGTACACTCCTGCGGGCGTACAGCGAGGCCTTCGAAAGCCAGGATCGTGTATGTCCGGCCTTCATGCTCCTCTTCTTGTGTGATCAAGCTATCGAAATCTAAACCTATCTATCTGTATACATATATACACACATACATACACATGCACACATCTACACACATATGTATGCATGTATGCATGGTATGCATGTATGTATGCATGTATGTATGTATGTATGTATGTATGTAGGTGTATGTATATATATATATATACAGATACATACACGCAGCGCATTTCACTCTTAGCAGCGGGACTGTAGCATGCCGCCAATGGCCAGGGGTCTCACTGGCAGCTCACTGTGGCATTGTCCAGTCCTTGGCAACTTCTGCAGGATGGATCCAACAACTGAACCGTAAGCTTTCGACGCCAACGCCTGGGGATCAAAGTACCTGCCGCAGCTTTTCCTGCGTCACCAAGGTACATGTACTCATTGCTACCAGGCATATGTTAGTGATAACCATAAGAAGAACGACGGTCAAGGACACGGCAACAGCTCCGAAGCACTAGCAAAGCTTGCTACATAGACTGCTTGAGACGGACGTCAAAAGGCGAATTTCTCGAGGACTTTTATTCTGATACTGCTTCGTTGACATTCTCCCAAAGTGCACCTTTCGCAACTGGTTTACTCCAAGGGATCCGAAGCTTATCTCCGAGCCGGATGTAAGGGTAGCAAGGTGCTCAAGTCTCCATGTTGGGAGCGCTTGTAAAGGGCGTCCTCATGGATGCAAGCAAACTCTGATCAGGATCTCAATGGGTGAAGAACCCTGGCTTCCGGAGCCGGCCCCGAATGCATCGGCCATGGATTTACCTGGCGGCTGTGCGGGAGCCTCGCTCGCACGACTTGAGCTTTGTGGAGTCGAATTCAGGAGCTAAGATCCGGTTGCTGTTCGCATTACAAGACGATTGCCGGCGGCACTGCTATCACCGTCAGCATTGTCGCGTCCCAGCGAAAGGGCGATCACGGCATTGCAGCAGAAACACTGCTGTTACTTACCGAGATTAGTACCAGTCGCTACCATCACATTCTTCACCATCATCATTTCTTATTCTACAACAATTCCTACTACTACTACTACTACTACTATTACTACTACTACTACTACTACTACTACTACTACTACTTCTACTACTACTACAAGTACAAGTACAAGTACACCTACAACTACTGTAACAACCACAACAACAACCACTACCACTACCACTACCACTACCACTACCACTACCACTACCAATACCAATACCAATACCACTACGACTACTGCTGCTAGTAGTAGTAGTAGTAG